ATTATATATATAATTAACCCAGATTTTATACACTATATTCTTTAATAAAGTCAGAGAAAAGAAAATGTTAAGAAAATCATGAAAGAAAATACATTTATAGTACTGTACAGTATTTATCGAAAAAATCCGTGTATAAGTGGATCCATGCAGCTCAAACCTAAGTTGCTCAAGGGTCAACTGTATATACGAAGTATGGACTTACTGGAGAAAAACATCTCTGGATTTGCTTGAAAATTCAATGTAATTATTTTCTCATATTTCTGAGTGACCCAGAACAAATGCCATGCAATCCCTTTGCCCAGCCCCATGCATATATTGTTACTCCATGGTAACAACTAGAACAAACATTCATTTTTTCACCTTAAACAGCATCTAATCCATAAGCAACTTGAGGAGCATAGTGTGGGATTAGTGTGCCTTTCTTACTGAGAAAAAGACAATGAAGGGACTCACGTGCTTCTTGGAGCAGCCATACCTTTTTAAACCCTACCCAACAATGACAGATGGCCTGGTGCATTTAGCTCAAAGTATATTCTATAATGGTAATTCTCAAAGTGTGGTCCCTAGACCAGCAGCATCAACATCACCAAGGAATGTTTACAGGTTTTCAAGTCCTGTTCCAGACCTACTGAATCAGAACTCTAGAAGTGGGGCTCAGCAATATGAGTTTATTAAATTCATCAGGAGATTCTGAAGCATGCTAAAGGTTGCAAACTGCTGATAACTCATCCACTCAGCAAGTTTGAAAGAACATTGTCTGCTAGGAAATACTCAGGCACCTGTGTCTCCTCAGAAAAGGGACTAATTCCCAATTTCCTTACCGTTAAAAGCCTTCAGAAAGAATCACCATAATTTAAATGGCTCGAGCTCTCAGGGAACTGCTTAATATGACCATAAATAAAAATTTAAAAACAATTAGAGAGGCACCAGAAGCTCTTTTTATCCTCTTGTGATCCTCTAAATGCACCAAGGACTTGCCACTTGGCTATTATAATTTTATATCCACCTCTATATTAAGGTTCTTGGTTTGTAGTGTTTGCTTTGGGAACCAAATGCCTGTCATTTTATGGCACCATGGAGTGATTAATAAAGGCTTTTGTAGTGCAGTGAATCGCTATGTGAACACATCCTGCTCATTAAATGAAAATGGCTCAATACAATACCTGCAAGCCAGCAAGCACTAGACTGTCCTATGGGGCAGGCAGAGGAGTCTGTTTGAAGTTTAAGATAAAGCAGGATTGGGAAGCCTAACAACCTTATGAGAGATGTGGCAGGGATGAACAGCGGAGGGAAGCACAGGAGGGAAGGGCACTTCTGAATTCCCATCTGCCTGGAGTGTGAGTGGAGGTGGGTCACAGTGGAAGCGCTTTGCGTGCCATCGGATCCCTGAGTGGTTTTGTACCCTGGGTGCAAAGGTTCAGAAAGGACACAAGAGCACTCCAGTCATATTCTGTCTTGGTGTTTCTTTTCTAACTCAGTGTTTTAGTCAGTTCAGGCTACTGTAACAAAAATACCATAGACTGGGTGGGAGGGGCTTAAACAATGAATGTTTATTTCTCACAGTTCTAGAGGCTGGCAAGTCCAAGATTAAGGCATCAGCAGATGCTGGGTCTGATGAGAGTTGGCTTTCTGCTTCATAGGTCTCCCTCTTCTCACTGTATTTTCAAGTGTGGAAAGGGGGCAAGGGAACTCTCTGGATGTCTTCTACAAGGGCACTAATCCCATTGATGTGGGTTGTACCCTCATGACCTCATCACCTCTTAAAGGCCCCATCTTCTAATACCATCACATTGAGGATTAGGTTTCAGTGTATAAATTTTGGGGAGACATGACATTCAGTCTATAGCACATAACTTTGCCAGAATTTAGGAATCTTGGGGTACCTGGGTGGCTCAGTCAATCAAGTGTCCAACTCAATTTCAGGTCAGATCATGATCCCAGGGTTGTGGGATCGAGCCCCACATCAGGCTCCATGCTTATGATCCTCTCTCTCTCTCTCTCTGCCCCTCTCTTCAGCTTACTCTCTTAAAAAAGGGGGGGGGGTGCGGAGAAGACAAAGTTAAAGAAGTTAGAAATCTTGTTAACTTTAAAGGAGAAGACTTTATTTAAGTAATTTGGATTGGTCATTCTCTCTTGCCAAAGGACAATCCCCATGGCTCTGAGATCTTTGAGATATTTTCCTTCTAGGACAAATTCTGCCTGAAGTTTGCTGTGACATCTGGAAAAAGTCATTTCAACTCCATTTATAAATGACTTATTTCTCCATATTAGACAGAATTACCTCTTGTTAATAAATGGACACACTTGTGCCACAGGTCATAATTAGCAGTTCCACTTAACAGTCCCTTCACTGGCACTCTAAGACTTGAAGCCTCACTGAACCAAAGTTCACACTCATGAGGTGGCCCCAGGCCTGAGACACGGGAAAGACTAGAAGTTTCACTAACATGATGGACAGTCCATCCAGGAAGAGTCATCCCCAGGACAAAAGCTGCAGTTAGCTTTTTCTGAGCCCTATAACTTCAGATCATTTAAATGGTGGCTCTGAGGAAGTACTATAGGCCAGTGCTCCTGGAACCTTCGGAGCCATAGACCTTCTATAGGTCTACTTCCAGGTATGAGGCTAGTTCTCCATCTTCAGCCCTGGTTGCCTATCCTACTATTCCCGGGGCTTCACTTTACTTATCTCTTAGAAATTAAATCTTTTCCCTCCACTAAGGCTACCTACCTTAAATTCACACCTGCCTTCTTCTTTTTTTTTTTTAATAAGTTTATTTATTTTGAGAGAGAGAGAGGGAGAGAGAATGGGGGAGGGGCAGAAAGAGAGGGAGAGAATCCCAAGGAGGCTCCACGCTGTCAGAGCAGAGCTGGATGCAAGACTTGATCTCACAAACTGTGACATCATAACCTGAGCCAAAATCAAGAGTCGTAAGCTCAACCAACTAAGCCACCCGGGTGCCCACTTCAAACATGCCTTCTAATGGAGGCCACCATAAACCCACCATCAAGCCTTTGAAGAGAAAGCAAGCTTTAATGAGTATTCCACTATATTGGTTAGTTGAAATGATGGTGCAATTTCTTGCTTATACCACAGCTAGGAGAAGTGAATCCACTTCAGTTAAATTACATTCAATCTTTCCACCAACCTGAACTATTTGCTTTTCCTGGAATGTTCAGCAATATGCTATGCAAATTTTACCTCTGAGTCTTTGAGCATATTGTTCCATCATCAACAACAACATCATAGCTAAAATTTATGAGATGTCTACTTAGGCTTTCAAAAGAAATTACATCTATGTATTCATTTATACCCCACCAAACTTCTTGGGTAGTTACTATTAACAACTCCATTTCAGATAAGAAGTCAGGGGATTTGCAAAACTTGTCCAGAGGTTCACAGCTACTTAGTGGTAGAATAAAAGTCAAATCTGGTTATTGTAACAGGGGTGCCCCACCCCAGCCCCCTACCCTGGTAACCCTTACTCAACCTTTAGATCAGGGTCAGGATCATCTATTGCAGCACACACTCTATGACCCCAGTTCAGGATTCCTCTTCAGGAGGCACCTCTACCTCATCACACGGCAGCGTTTTCTCTATATGTGTTACTCTCCTCTTGCTTCTGCCTGTGTTGGAGAGTGGTACTCATGTGGATCAGGAGTGTTCATGACACCTTATTAAGATCTTTTAGCCTTTAGGATATCTGTGAGGAGTCATGTTTTTAGCTGTTCTGGTGAAATGTGCGGAAACTGCTGGGATTCCATCTGATTATTTAGAACAGGAGGCATTCAGACTAGAGGTAGGAAATGCTAGAAAGAAGGGCAAAGGGTGCTATACAGGTTGGGGCCAGTTGAGAGTCCAGAGCATGTGGGCACATTATAATTGCTCCACTATTTGAAGTTGGACTGCTTGGCAGGGTGTAAACCCAGCATTTAGGAGAGGGGGAATAGGATCCTACTCCCACATCTACCTCTCACTGGTTGTGGGACTTTGAGCAAATTATTAAAATTCTCTGATTAGCAATTTCCTTTGTGAAGAATCTTTTAGTTCCAAAGCTATATAATTTGCTTCAAAAATATGCTTAATAACACTTTATAAGAATATGAAATAATTCTTTAAAAAAAAAGGCAAGGCAAATGAGAATAACTATTCTTACAATGAATTAAAAATTCTTTCATTCTCACTTAGAAGAAAAAAAAGAGGAATGCATGACCTGGAGGGAAAAAGAATGTGTTTGCAAATGACTGCTTTTGGAGTCTTTGCATTTGCGGTTAGTGCAAAAAGCAAAAAAGTACCTTATGGTCCTATTTAGTAATAATCCCAAAGGACTGAGTAGGCATACTGTAGAGCCCTGTGATTTTATCAGCCATAGAATCTGAGCTGACAAGAGCAGTTTAGCAAACTTGGTGTTTCTCAGAGGTGTGGGCAACTCTCTAGACTCTGGTCTCCCATAGACTAACCAACCCCTTCCTTTTTAAGTTTGATATACTGCTTCTCTGTTAACATTGAGCCAATATTCTGGGAAAGTCTGTAAAACAAAAAGTCCAGGACGTGACTTGGACAGATTGCTGACTGTCTTTCACAGGCTGGATTTTATGAACTCTTCCATGTATGACAGTGTTTTGTTTTGGGTTTAATGTATTCGATGGTGGAGGGATACTGAACCAAACCATTGTGGTGAGGCTCACAAAGATTATTTAATAGAGTCCTAGGCAGGCCACAGAGAGGGATTCATTATGCGCCAAGAGTGAGATTCCAATGATGTGTATTCAAAATAGGCTATTGTCATTAAAAATTGAGTTTAGTGAGGTGAAAATGCTTCAATTTATTAGCAGGTCATGCAGTAGGATGAAAAACTATCTAAAATAGACTATTGCTGCAATAAAAATCATCAGGGATGAATAACTAGATACTAAACATCACCACACCTCTGCACACTTTACAAGGCAAGCAATTCCTGCATGCTTATATTAACCCATAGTTTCTAAATCTCTTCTTTCAGAAGCCAACAGTCCATTCAGTCCAAGAGACAACTTGGTGTTTGCTGCTATATGATCATGAACAGAAGGATCCGCTTTCTGCTTGGATGTTGGTGGGGCATGTAATCCTGGTCACGGCTACAATAGCTTTTACTTTTCAACCCCTCACTGTTTGTAGAAGATGGGATTTAGTATTTTGTTGGGGTATCAGAGGGAACATAAACTTTGAACTTTTAAAAAGTGCGAGATTTATCTGGAAAGAAAGCATACAGAAAAATAACTATAGTCTTTAATATCCTTTGAGCATCTGTTGTTTGTCAGCACTATATTAAGTGCTTTACATGCATTGTTTTATTTAATCTGTAAAGCAATGATGCAGGTAGATGTTATTATTCCCTTTAACAGTTGAGGACATTGAGACTTAGACACATTAAGCACCTTCCCAACATCACACAGCAATTAAGCAGAACAGCTGGAATTTGAACTGAGTGAGGCACATCTGGCTTCACATCCTTACCTCCTAACTGCTCAAAAGACAATAAAACTCTCTTGCAAGTGATATGGAAACAAGTGCAAATGTGCCGACTGAGTTCATAAGTCCTCATCAAGACCTGGAATAAAGAAATAGAGTTTGTTAATAATGATATTTGAGAGATGAAGTTCTAATATTTTTCTTTCATCAGAATGGACATAAAATATCACCAGGAACATGGTGAAGAGATTAACATACTAGTGAGTGTATTTTATGCCAGTTTCTACCACTAAAACTCATCCCCTTTATGATCTGGGCTTCCTTCCTTCCTGACCACACTGTCCTTCCATCTCTGCATTTTTGCCCTCTATGCCAAGAGTTACTGCCTGAAAACCTGAAAGAAATGAAAAAGGAGTCTTAGCGTCATTTGAATTCTGTCCTTTTCATCTGAAGAAGTGGCATTATGTGGATAAAGGGATTTAGTTTCTGAGGAACCAGCTTCTAGACTTGACCATGGCCACCTCCTTCTCACTGGACTTTCCTCCACCTCAGACCCCGATGATCCAGGTGATGGAGCAGGGCCAATGCCTCCGCCACCCACCCCACATTATCTGACCCCTTGAAATCTCTTGCGGCTTCCAGTTGTGTTCCCCCCATATAGGTCAGGCTCTGGCCCTACTATGGGGCTCTTTATCTGATCCCTGGATCTGTAATGAATCTCTTTCCTTCTTTCAGGTTCCCTTCATTTTGCCCAAACGCATCTCCTTACCGTGTGCTTCATCTTGTTCTACCAAGCTTACCCCACTTTCATGGAAGCCATTCCCAGGTTTCATCCAGTAGTCTCTCTATTGGGAAAAGTCTTTCCCTTGCTTTCATTTCTTCTGAGATTCTCCCTGATTTGAGTGATAATTGCTCTGTGTGTGTGTGTGTGTGTGTTTGTATGTGTGTGTACAATGCCCACAACAATGAAAACTTCAGACAAATATGAAAATTAGTGATAATTTATGGGCTTGCTTATATATTTATTATTCCGTGTACTTTCTTCTTGCACGGTTGGGTGTGGTAATATTCTTTGCATTGTTAAGTGCCCATATTGAATTTTAGATTTTAAACTTCTAGGGAGAGGAAGCTGTCTACTTCACTTCCTGCTAAAATATTTTGAGCTGCACTGTGTGTATTTGGGCAACTGAATCCTATCTGGCTGTTAGGACCAATGGAATACAATTTAAAGAAAAACAAGATAATACTAATTTTTGGACTGCTTATATGGAATTCATTTTTTTTTCTTTCTGAGTTTTGGATAGCACATGTGAATTTTATGGTAGGGTCATACAAATCCCAAATAATTAAATAGAATAGTGTGAAGGGGTGAAAATTCCAGATTACATTCATTTTAAAATGAAAACAGTTGTATTGCTTTTAAGAATGTATAATAATATGAATCATGTACAAAGTATTAATAATATTTGTTCTAGGAGACCTACAATATTGGTGCAATCGTCAGGAGGCTGTATATTATACTGAGCACAGGAAGAGCTACATTTGAATCCCAAATTTGCCATGTAAAACCTTTATGTTCCTGGACAAATCCCTCAAGTCTCAGATTGTACATGTCCCCTCCCAAATCAGTACTGAGGATTCAGTGGGAACTATAAACAAAGTACTTAACCTGTATGTGTGAGCCAATGATAAGTATTCAAAAGATTTTTAGCTAATATTAATATTTTAGCTTGCTTTTTGAAAGACGCTTCAAAAGCACATAATATTCTTGTTTGTGTCATTTCGATTACATTTGATTACATTTACTCAGCAAACTTTTTCTTCATTGTTCTTTGTCTGAATAATTCATATATTCTCTTTAAGAGATTTAGGGGATTTTTAAAATTTATTTTTCAGAGAGAGAAAGAGAGAGAGAGAGCACACTTGCAAGTTGGGGAGGGGCAGAGAGAGAGTGGGAACCCGAAGCCAGCTCTGCGCAGACAGCAGAGAGTCTGATGTGGGGCTCAAAGCCACAAACTATGAGACCATGACCTGAGCTGAAGGCAGATGCTTAACCACCTGAGCCACCCAGGTGCCCCTCTAAGAGATTTAAATGAATGTCACTTAAAAAATAATAAATAAATGAGTGTAAGTTAGGTGGAATCAGGATAAGAGAACTTTTTCTCTGCTTCCTCAGTCCCACATATCCTATAATCTTCTGTGTTGTATGGAACACAGAGCTGTAGAAACAGGAAGTATTAGTTTGGCAGTCTCTTGTTGGCATAGCAGGCTTACGGTGGCACTCAGAATCAAGACCCTCGTGCTTGGGGTTCCTCTTTTCTCTTCCATTGCAAGTTAGATCACAAACTGTCTCAGAATTCTTGTAAAAGCAGGAATTATAGCACTATGGGGGCACCTCGCTGGATAGAGATAAGAGATGGGGTTTGGAATTTACACTCAGGACAACAGTGTAGACATACAGACAAGGAGTTCATCAGAGAAGAAACAGTGGTGCAATGGGGACAGGGTCTTTTCTCATAAGTGTGTTGCTTTGTTTTTTATTTAGGATCTAAGAAAAAGGTCTATACGATGCCTGAAGACTCTACAGGCATGTCCACCTTGGTAACGAGGGGTTGGGATCTTGCTTCCAATGGTTTAGGATACAGTAGTTGAGAGAACAAGTTGTATTCAATGCTAAACAATAAAAGAGAAATAATGCCTGATGACTGGATTCATTTCTCATTTCTACAGAACAACAACCTTTTCATGATTATCTGAATCTCACCACTGGTGGGTGATGGGACCCATTGAGGTCAGAACCCATCACCAAGGTATCTTTGAAGGCAGGATGCTTCATTTGTGAGGAAACCATCAGAGACTGTGGAAGGTCTCAGGCATCTAAGCTTGTTTATGTATTACTTATTTATTTACCTCTGCTCTAGAATAATCAATAAGAGTTGATTATTCTTTTAAGCAATGTTTCTGACACATTTAAACCCTTTCAATGACTTTTAGGACAAGTGGGAAAATTTTCCCATTTCTTTAAAATGTTTTACACATTCACCTGGTATTTCCCAAACCAGTTATTCTAATAAAAAGGCTTTTTAATGACTTTTATACACCTCAAATATGCATGTGACATTAACTGAAAACTTACATTTCCCTTCATTTTTGTTTTCATCAATAACAAAAATCTTTTCTAAATATAAATTCTTTGAAATGAATTTAGGCAATGAAGTAGATGAATTAGACTGAATAGCTTGTAGAACCAAAGAAGCATTCTGATAGACTAGACTTTCAAAATATCTCCTTGTCTTTCATATTCATTTTACTTAGGGTATGGAGAAGCATGTAAAAGTTTGTCATTCATGTTTGGCTCCGTGACACTGAAAACAGGCAACACTCAAGTAATCTTGGACAAATGCAACTCTACAAGTGTCTACTTCAGTCAATTTGTTAAGAAGAACTATCTTAATTAACATATAGTATATTTGACTGAAAAACCTTTGAAACCACCTTTACTGTAGGATCTGTAGAATCCTTCCAAAGGTCTTGTACATGTTCATGTATCCTGTGCACTTCCTTATCTCTCTATCAGAGTGAATTTTCTAAAAGGCAAATCCATCAGGCTTTCCCTTACTTAATGGTCCCTCTTTGCTCATAGGATAAAGCCAACTACCTGCAGACCAGACTTGTTTGGGAGCTGGCTCCGTCACTCACCATATTACCCTCCTGCCACATTCCTGTGGACTACTCTGTAGGTCGGTGAATATGTCCACAGCTTCACTCTATGTTCAAGCCATTCATCTAAAAACATGATTCCCCTCGCTTCCTCTCTCCTTGGCCTGCTTGGGGGAATGTCCACTCTCTTTGCAACTGTTCAAATAATACTTCCTCTCTCAGCCCAGTAACAACTGTCTTCCTTGCTTCTCCACCATCATACTTTTATAGCTTTCGCTGGCCACACCCTGCATTGTTAGGTTGCACGCTGTCTCCCCAGCTGGCTTGTGTGCCTTGAAAGAAAGATGTGGCCACAATATTCATTTTTGTGTCTGAGTGCTGGCCACTTAGTGAGTCCTCTAGAAGTGTGTATTGAATGACTGATTGATTAGGTGAGTAAACACAGAATTGGATTATAAATGATATTCTCTTACAAGAATAGCCGATGATTCCCTTCCTGTAATTGTCATCATAAACTGTTTTATAGACTGTCTCCATCCTTCCATTTGTGATACTGTTGCAGGTTTCAGGGAGTCCCAACAGTCTGGAGTTGATAGTCAGCAATTTGTCATTTTCTCCACGGCTCATCAGGCTTTCTGTGGTTTGACACCCTAGTTGTTTGCCCACTAGTATTAATAATAATAATAATAATAATAATAAATAAGTATATAGGAAATGTTGTTGCTGGGTGTCAAAAGAGATTCCAGGCCACTCCTCACTTGGCCTTGAAGATTTAGAAACCTCTGTACTCAAGAACCACTTCAACTGGACCTCCTGGAATGGATTCACTCAGCAGAGGAGTGATTCCTTCAGGAATTGAAGGACTCCCTTCTTGAGTCTGGGTGGTAGAAAACAGCACAGCACGTGTGTGCATATGTGTGTTTGTGCATGTGTGTGTGTGTAAAAGTAAGGGAGCTTATCTTATATGTTAAAGAGCAAGGAAAAAAAATTGATAGCTTTCATAGTTGTTTGGCCTTAATATGACCCTCACTAAACTCCTGGTATCTTTTAGTTCCAAAACTCCTGCTGCTTTCCTTGTCTTAGTTAATAGCAACTCTGTTCTTCCAATTACC